TTCATTTCCTTTATCTGTTCCTTAGGCAGATGTGGCATCTTCTCGAGTTCCTTATCTTAGACTCCTTCTGCTGAGTTGACTGTGCAAGCTGTATTCTTCTCTGCTTGTTTCTTCTGCACGTTGTCTCCACGTGCTGCAAGGTATCATTTTCACTTGCCTTATCTGTTCTTCAGGCAGATGTGGCAACTTCTTTGGAAGTACAGCAGCAGTGGGAGACGAGTACTCGAGAGCAGTGCTAGGTAGGCAATCAGGGAAGGGTTCCAAGCAGTCGGTTCTTTACCCGAGTTTGAGTGGAGGTTCCGGCATATTGTTTTCTTTATCCTTGTCTTTGTAGGTACGAACAAGGACAAAGGAAAGAACAGGGAGAACGCATGATATGAGATACTCTTGCTTTCTACCCTGGTGATATGAGATACTTTTGCTTTGGTGTCATTTGTTTGCAGAGGTACCCCAAGGAATAAGGAACACTGAGTGACCCGAGAGGCTTCGTTGGGAAGGCATTCTCGGAGATGAAGAAAGGTTCTGTATGTCTGCCTTGCTATGAAGGGTGAAGGTGGACATTTATATGGATTAATAACCGGTACTGTTCTTTCACTCTTGTCGGCAACCGTTGGATGATTGAACAGTAAACTTCACGTGCTTTCTCCTTCACCGAAAATCTTCGACAAATTGCCCGTGATTTGCGCAAAGTTGAGTGTGCATATGATAGGTGTTGACGCGGCTGAAAAATACTGGCGCCTCTTCGATATCTGGGATCGGCGCTTCGACAAATTACCCGTGATTTCCGCAAAGCTGAGTTTGCGTGTGATGGGTGCTGACAAGTCTGGAAAGGAAGATCGCCCGTGGTTTCCGAGCAAGCCCAGCTTTTGAGAAAGCTAGCACCTCTTCGATTTTTTGAATTGGCCTCTTCGAATTCTGAGCTCGCCTCTTCGATCTCTGAAATCCCGTCGAGTGCTGATTTTTTATAGAGGCATGCAGTTCGTTTCAAAGCACACTTGAATTTTCACTTGTGAAAAACTCCCTTCTTGCACTTCTAAGATCTTGATTTGTCCGATCTCTTCTTTCTTCAACACTTTGAAAATGTCTGGACCCTCCGACAGTCGTTTTGACTTGAATCTTGATGAAGAGGCAGTCCCGCCTTCTCCAGACAACATATGGCGCCCATCCTTCATATCCCCTACTGGTCCTCTTATCGTTGGGGATTCGGTGGTGAAGAATGATATGACCGTTGCGGTGGTGGCCCGAAACCTTGTCACTCCCAGAGATAACAGACTACTTTCCAAACGGTCTGATGAGTTGGCTGTTAAGGATTCTCTGGCTCTCAGTGTGCAGTGTGCAGGTTCTGTGTCTAATATGGCCCAACGCCTATTTGCTCGAACCCGTCAAGTTGAATCATTGACGGCTGAAGTGATGAGTCTCAAACAGGAGATTAGAGGGCTCAAGCAGGAGAATAAACAGTTGCATAAGCTCGCACATAGCTATGCGACAAACATGAAGAGGAAGATTAACCAGATGCAGGAATCTGATGGTCAGATTTTACTTGATCATCAGAGGTTTGTGGGTTTGTTCCAGCAGCATTTGCCTTCGTCTTCTGGGGTTGTACCGCGTAAGAGCAACTCCACCCATGGAGCCTTTCCCCCTGGCAATCCACTATTGAATCCACCCTTTTGAACAGTAACTGCCTTTAATGAATAGTAACTGCCATTAATGAACAATAATTGCCATTTGCATCTCCACCCTTTGAGCCCTCCCCCTGGCAATAGGCAATAAAATATTAGTTTTTTTTGTTTGTTTAAATAATACAAAATAAAATTATTTGTAATTTCGGATAAGATTTTTTAAATCGTTCTCGTTGCGCCACGTGTCATTTTATAAAAAAAAAAAATTATTTAGCGATGGATTTCGATAAGATTTTTATCCAATGTCATCGTGCCACGTGTCGTTATCTTTTGAGAATCTTTGACGATAGATTTTGATCAGATTTTAACTCGTTCAAAATTACGCCACGTGTCATTATCCGAAAATATAATTATTGGAGATCGATTTCGATAAGATTTTTATCCAATACGATCGTGCCACGTGTCATTATCTTTTCAGAATCTTTGAGGATAGATTTCGATCAGATTTTTAACGAATGACGGCATGCCACGTGGCCTTATCTACAATCCAATCCTTTCTGAACCGTCCATATAATCCACCATCCATCCTCACAAATCTCACACCAATTTTCTCAACATCTCTATCTCATTATTCATAGTTTCTGCTTCTTCTTCACCATCCATCATTACAATGTCTTCTTCTTCATCAAGGATGATGTGGGAAATCGATCAGCAAGAGGAAGAATTGTTTAACTAATCTGAAGGAATGTTCAACCTTCAGATAGCCGAAAATGAGATGGAAGAGGATGAGGAGCGTAGAAGGAGAGATGACGAAACAAGAATGGCCAGAGCCTCACATTCCCGTCGAGTCATCCAGACTGTTGCTCAGATATGCAGGCCCAACCGTTCAAGAAACCTTGATAGAAACAGGCAACGACGGGGTGAAGAGCTGTTGGACGATTACTTTGTCTATAACAATGCATTTCCTGATACGTACTTCAGACGCCGTTTTAGAATGGAATGACATTTGTTCAACAGAATCGTGACTGATGTTTGCAACCATGATTCTTACTTTGTGCAAAAGCAGGATGCTTGTGGTGTTATGGGTCTCCTTCCTGAGCAAAAAATCACTGCTGCGTTGCGGATGCTTGCGTATGGAGCATCTGCAGACCAAGTGGATGAGATAACGAGGATGGGGAAATCAACCATTCTTGAGGCCTTGATGAGGTTTTGCGGAGCAGTCGAATCTTTGTACACCGCAGAGTACCTCCGAAAACCTACTCGCTGGGACTTGCAAAGGCTTCTGAAGAAGGGCGAGATGCGAGGTTTTCCTGGGATGATAGGAAGCATCGATTGTATGCACTGGACGTGGAAAAACTGTCCAAGTGCATGGCAATGCGCATATGGGGACAGAAAATGATCAAAATCTATCATTTTGAAGGCAGTGGCATCTTTTGATACATGGATATGGCACGCCTTTTTCGGGGTTCCGGGGGCTCAAAATGATCTCAACGTCCTTGCCCAATCCCCAGTGTTCAACGACGTCCTGCAAGGAAAGGCACCAAAAGTCACGTACGTCGTCAACAGACGTAGGTACGAAGGGGCATACTACCTAGCTGACGACATTTACCCACGGTGGGAAACATTTGTCAAAACAGTGCCACGTCCACGAAGTGCAAAGGAAAAACACTTTGCAAGCTGTCAAGAGGGGTGCAGGAAGGATGTGGAGCGTTGTTGGTATCCTTCAAGCTCATTGGGCGATCGTCAGGGGTGCTGCCAGAATGTTCGATGTAGAGTCACTTCGATCCATCATGATGACGTGCGTCATTCTTCACAACATGATTGTGGAAGATGAGTTCGATTATGATGCGGTTGATGAATATGAGCCAGAGGCAGACACGATGAACAATTCAAGAACACGGATATATTGTGCGCATGATGCCACCGAAGAACCCGTGCAACACGATCCATTAGAAAGGGATGGACGTTACAATGAAAGGGTCCTTCAACGATATACTGCACGTCAAAGGTCATCTATGCACATTGATCGGCAAATTGACTTGATAGAGCACCAGTGGGCATTGAAACAAGCTGAAGATACTTAAGTTTATTTAGTATGTTTGTTTGTATTTGGTGTGTGTTGAACAACAAAAATATACAACATAAAAAAAATAGAGTCCATACAAATTGGGTCAGGCTACAAGGCAAAACAAAGATGTAAACCAACCCAAAAGATAAGAATGGGCTTTACATACAAACCAAATATCCATAAACAAATAAATAAAAAATAATAAGGAAAAATTTCCTACAAAAGGGGGAAGCAATAAACAGGTTCCCTCCTTTCCTGCAACAAAAAAAACGTGGGGTCAGTTAAGAGGGGTTAAAAGAGAGTGGCAGGAAGTCATGCCCTCCATCTTCTCCCCACGTAACAAGCTCTAGAACCCTCATATGATGCCTATAAATGGGCATCAGCTGCAACAACAAAAAAAAGGAACAGACAGAAAAAAAAGGATGGGGAAACTCTGCAGAAAATAAAAGCAACTTTGAGAGAAATATCAAAAGGCAACGAACTGCTGCCAGAAAAGAGAACAAAGAGACCAATCATTCGTGCATTCGAGTCAAGATCAAAAAGAAGAACATTCATTACCAGGTATGAAATAAGTTCTGTTAATTTATTTTTATTTCTCTAGTTCAAATGTTGTGTTGCAGATGGAAGTAAAGAAAAAGGGTGCATAACCAAACACTCAGAACTAGTAACCTTCAATTTATACAAGAAAACTGCCGGAAAAGGTTTTTTATGCAGGGAAGGTTTCTTAAATGATAGTCCGACTACTCTTCTATACCTGCAAAAACAACACAAAGCAGTCCAAAGAAAAAATGGCAGCAGCCACATGTTTTCTTTCTGTCTAAATATGAAGAGAACAAAAACGCAAAAGAGCTCCGCTCCTCGCCGCTGCCAGAATCCCATGAATTTCTTCGGGGTGGCCTAGACCACCCCGTGAAGTTCCAATCAAGGTCTAATGAAAGTCATTTTTTGCGGTCCAATGAGAAAACAGATGCATTTATGGACAAAATAAACAAGGGAAAAGAAGCAAAATGCAACTTTTGCTCCCCTTGACCGACTCCTGCTTGGTCCAATTCCACAAGAAGTTTTCAAACACAACTCTTGACCAAAGACTACTACAAGACAAAAAGGAAAGAAAGGAAATTTCCCAATCTTTGAATAAACAGCTAAAAGAAGGTTCAAAGCCTTCTTTGTCACGTGAAGAAAGAACAGAGTGTTTTCATCATGTCAAAATTTCTCATTTGCTTCTCTGCCACAAACATTTAAAAGAAGGTTCAAAGCCTTCTTTGCCACGAGAAGATGGGACGAGAAGATAAAAAAGGGTTCAAAGCCTTTATATTAAACACTTGCCATCCCAAAATTACAGAGAGGGAAAAGCTTACTGCCAAATTCCCCAAATTATTTGGAAAACCCATTCACATGGTAACCTTTGTATTAAACACCAAAAGACTTGGTAGACAAATCAAAACTACAGAAAGATTTTTTTTGGGAAAAGGCATCATATTGTACAAATGTTAAAGAAAAAATATGGCAAGAATGGGAACACAAAAAGGGTGTCCAAATGCCACTGTCAAGGCCAGTCAAGTAAAAATCCCTTTGTGGAAACAGAAATACCAGAGTGATAATCACACACAAGTACATCAGAACTCATTCAAAATATGGCAGATATTATGAGTGTGTGACTACAAATTTCAGAGTACAAACTCTCACATTTGGAGCCATGAATCAACAATTGTCTTCGACTAACTCGGGGCTGCAAAATGGTTTGTCCAACAACCAATCGAAGAGATGCCGCTACTTGGGACGCCTGCACGAAAGAATTGATAAAGTTCATTGCAGCTAAAGTTTCACTTCACTCCAAATACATAAACAAACCCAGAAAAAAAAAAAAAAACAAAAATGGGTAACCTGTTTGATAAAAGGAATCACATGCAAAGTAGTGAGCCTTCGATCCACAAAAAGAAGAACAATCAAAAGTGGGAAGAGCAAGAATACAAGGCGGCAGGAAGAGAATGAAAGTTTTTTTTGTGACCTGCGAAAGAATAGGTTTGCAATTTGAGGGGAAAATAATGGAAAATCGAAGTAATTGGAACAAAAAAATTTAAACTCCAACAAACCTTACCCATTTTTACTCTGAAATCCACGGATACCCAATCCAAATAGAAGTTTGAAATGCAACGAAGTCCACGGAAGTCCAAATATAGCGGAATAGTCGCTTGCTTCTAGAGGAAAACCACCAGATTTCAAAGCCAAGGGAAAGAGGATCGCTGAAGCCATCTTACGGGGGGGATGAGGATGCTAAATCCTCAAAATCATCAATGAGAGGCACGGCAGGCATAGAAAATCAAAACATAAAAAAAAAGAAGGATAAAAGCAGGGGACCTAAAACCTAAAAAGGCATTTATAAAAAAAAATGGTACTTTACCACTTGCTTTTATTAAACAATAAAGCAAAGGCTTGCTTTTCTACTATACTGCCCAGTTAGTGTCAGGCATGAACACATGGAATGAGTTTCAAGGCAAAGTAAATGAAGGCAAATAAAAAAGAAAGATTGCTCCTCACGTGGGAAGTATGGTCTCACCTTAAATGCACTAAGCTTTGCTTATTAAAGGAAAAAGGGCGTGGGTCATACTTGGCAAAAACCATCAATTCATTTTTTGCTAGTCATCATCTTTTTTGGCACTTTTCTTTTGCCAAAGTCTGAACATAAATCTAAATCAAAATTATGAACTACGCTAGTTTGATTCCTTTAAGGATACGTAGGCAGTCTAATATTAAATTATAGACGCAACCATGAAACCGAAACGAATCCCTAGTTTATATAAACTAAATTCACTCCCAATGGCCCAAAGCCGTATCAAATATCAAATGGCACAAAGTCAAAGAAAAAGTCAAATATCAAATGACATGAAGCCGCAACAAAATCTCAAGTGGCATGAAGCTATGTTAACTGGCACGACGCCGTATCAAATTTCAGAATGGCATAAAACCTTATCAAATTTATACATGCTCCTTGCCCGCATGAGCTAAAACTGCATAAGGCACTATGCTCCTTGCCTGCACGAGTTGAAACTGCACAAGGCATCAAATCTCAACAAATATATGAACTACGCTGGTTTGATTCCTTTAAGGATACGTAGGCAGTCTAATATTAAATTATAGACGCAACCATGAAACCGAAACGAATCCCTAGTTTATATAAACTAAATTCACTCCCAATGGCCCAAAGCCGTATCAAATATCAAATGGCACAAAGTCGAAGAAAAAGTCAAATATCAAATGACATGAAGCCGCAACAAAATCTCAAGTGGCATGAAGCTATGTTAACTGGCACGACGCCGTATCAAATTTCAGAATGGCATAAAACCTTATCAAATTTATACATGCTCCTTGCCCGCATGAGCTAAAACTGCATAAGGTACTATGCTCCTCACCCGCACGAGTTGAAACTGCACAAGGCATCAAAACCCAAACACCATGAACTACGAGTGACTTGATCCCTCAAGAGGGTACGTAGGCAATCTAGGGTTCGACCTAGGTGCAGTCACAAAATCAAACAAACACCAAAGTCCTCAAGTTACATTTTATTCAAATTGGAATCAAAGGGTATTCCTTTCCTAAAAGAAGGGTTGTAATTAATAGGCGCATAGCCTAGAATGGGTCGAACTCGAATTAATAAAACCCTCTTCGGAAAAATGAACGAGGGTGAAATTGTGTCGAGTGAATTATTTGTTTACATATTATGTACAATTTTTGCTCAACAGTGTGTTTATGTAATTTTATTTGGTGTGTTTTTTGTAGTGAGTTTTTTATTATTTCGTATGTTTATGTAATTTTATTTGGTGTGAATTATTTGGTATGTTTATGTAATTTTATTTGGTGTGTTTTTTGTAGTGAGTTTTTTATTATTTGGTATGTTTATGTAATTTTATTTGGTGTGTTTATGTAATTCCAATTGGTGAGTTTTTTAGTTTTATTTGGTGTGTTTTATAATTTCATTATACGTGAACAATTTGATGAATAAAGATTCTATTATTAGGATAAATATATTACGAAATTAAATACATGTACTCTCACTTTTAATAAAGTACTAACTTCAATAAAATGGAAACAACATAAATAATAAAATTACATAAGTACCCCTATTCCGATTACATGGAAACAACATAAATAATAAATTACAACCCAAAGTGATTGGAAAACTATGGGCTCCGATTACAAAAGTACCCTATTCCTCACCACTTAACCAATCTGTGGTGCTAGGATCATCTTGTCTTGTTGTGCTAGGACCATCTTGTCTTGATCTCGCTTCTCTTGCACGCCTCCTTTGCACCACATCCGCTTTCTCCGACTGCCAAAAATATTTAGAATTTGGAGACATCCCTTCTAAACGCGTGTTCATAATGTCACGATCTTGTTGTGCAATTCTTTCTTCTCTAAGCAACTCCCTTTCTTGCCTAAGTAGATCTCTTTCCCTCTGTTCAGCTTGAAATGCTTGTTGAATAGCTGCAGCTTTTACCTCATCTCTAGCCTTGTCAGCCTCATATTTCACCAATTCCCGCGCCAACGTCAATTCACCTTGACGAGCAAGTTCTTGCATGTACTTTCCATAATCATTCTTGGAAGCACTCCCTTTCCTCTTTGAAGCCTTCTTACCTAGAGGCCTAATTGGATAACGGGTTGACCCCGACGCTTGTTCAGGAATGGGCGTTTCAGGCACTTCTTCTCCATCTTCTTCATCAACATGGGAGCCATGATCGGGTGTAGAGTGTGGAGGGGTGCTGTGTAGATGGATGTTGTTCATGCATACTTCTGGACCGACATGCACAACTTTGAATTTAGGACAATCTTTAACAATATTCCAACATTCCCACCGGGTGAATGATTTGTTTCTTGATTTGATTTTGGCACCATACCATGCTTGTGCTTGAAGTTGCTACAAATAATAATATTGAGACTATTAGGTAACAAATAAATAATAATAATAATGAAATTAGGTAACAAATAAATAATACAAACAAATAATAATAATGAAATTATTAGGTAACAAATAAATAATACAAACAAATAATAATAATGAAATTAGGTCACAAATAAATAATACAAATAAATAATAATAATGAAATTATTAGGTAACAAATAAATAATACAAACAAATAATAATAATGAAATTAGGTCACAAATAATAATAATAATAATGAAATTAGGTAACAAATAAATAATACAAACAAATAATCTTACCTCATCCGCATAATTTGTCCCACTTCGAACATTACTACTAGCTTGTGTCAAGGCATCTCTCCACGTACTAAAGGAATGGCAAAGTATTTTCCAACGACTGGACATCGATTATTTGGTTCTTTTCCCACTCATTTGCTCAAGAAATTTGGTATGAATTAAACTCCACATTTCTCGCAACTGCATCTCATTACCCGTAAGGGAATTATGAGTAACTTCAACCCAGCTAGTGCACAACGCAACATCTTCAAGAAGCGACCAATTCGTACCTGCATCAGTAGTCATTTTTGTGGAAAAAAATTGGATGGAAAATTGAACTTGAGACAAAGATAAGAAAGATTTGATTGAAAGTGGTTGAGAAAATATGAAATTGTGGTGTAAGGTAGATGGAGAAGAAGTGGTATTTTATAGAAAAGTATAAAACAATTTTTTTTTACAATTTTTTTTCAGATTTTTTTTTACAATTTTTTCCATTTTTTTTTCAATTTTTTTTTTTCCAATAATTAATTTCTGCCGTTGGATTTAAAAAAATTTGAATTCCAACACTCCAGATTGTGCCACGTGTCACACGGTAACTTTTCTTAATTTTAAAAACTATTTTTTCTTTATTTATAAAGCATATTAATATCGACCGTTGATCTCAGATCGAACGGTTGATATTAAATCAGATTTTTTTTATTTTTTTTACCGTTGAGATCCAACGGTCCAAATGAAGGAGCCGTTGAGATCGAACGGACTGTGGGAAGCCACGTGGCTTCCCAACGGTAACTGTGCAAAGCTGAAAAGTTGACTGTTTTTTCTGAAAAGCTGTCGGGCGACGCGCCCCCACGCGCGAGTGGGGTGCACGCGCCTGACAGTAAAAAATAAAAAATGGGCTTGGAGCTCGGGCTCCGGGGCTGTCACAAATTGACAGGCCCCCTGCTCGGGCCTTCTCCACTAGCTCGGGCTCCTCATGGCTGGAGCAAGTTGACAGGCCTGTAGACATCGAAATTTCGGTAAATAAATGTTGACCGATAAATCAAAGTGTCAACGCTCATGTATTACATAAATTTTACACGTAGCGTGTGACTCAACGAAAATTGAAATGAGTTGGAAAAGTCATCAAATAGGACACGTGTCAACACCTGGCAGAAACGACTTATTTCATCTGGGATATTATATTCAAAATTAGGCCTTGGAAAATTCTATAAATATAAGCCCATTTCATTCATTTAGGAACCAAAATCATTATGCAAAATTCTTGAAGCTCTGAAACTCCGAAGCTCTCAAGCATCCAGGTTCCCCGAAGAATCAAGAAAGCTCTCTTCATTCTTCGTTCATCGTTCATCCTAAGATCAAGCCCCAACGGCCCTTTGGATCAACAATCATCCACCAATTCAAGATCAAGCCCCGACGGCCCTTGAAGAAAGTGTTCTTCGTTCTTCGTTCTTCGTTCATCGTTCTTCCAAGATCAAGCCCCGACGGCCCTTGAAGAAAGTGTTCATCCGTTCATCACTGTTATTCAAGATCAAGCCCAAAAGCCCTTGAAGATCCGCTCATCACCGTTATTCAAGATCAAGCCTCAACGGCCCTTGAAGAAACTCATCCTCAAGATCAAGCCCCAATGGCTCCTTGAAGATCCGCTCAAATCCACCTTCAAAGATCAAGCCCACGGCCCTTGAAGAAACTTCCAACAGTTCATCCAAGATCAAGCCTCGACGGCCCTTGGATCAACGAAACATCCACAAATACACACCTTATGGAGATCGAATCAGAGGATCAAATTAGAGAGAGATTGTAACCCAAAATCAAAAAATACAAATATTTTGTTTGTGCACGTTGTTATTGTCTCTTTCGTTTCAGGAATTTTCCGTGTTCACAAATTGGCACGCCCAGTGGGACAATCTCTGCCTCTCATCTCTTTCTCCGTTCAAGAAAATCAAAACGCACTTCCAAAATTAATGGCATCAAGGAAAGCTCAAACTGCTCCCGCAATTGGTGTCACTTTGGGCATCACGACTCGAAGCATGGCAAGAGCTACTTCTGCCACCTCTTTCACCTCTGCATCAACTCTGCCAAGGGAACAAGAGCACCCGAAGCACGAGCCTTTGATCACCTTAGCCTCACTAAGGGCACCAA